GAATAGATCGTCTCATATATATTAACTCTTTTCCAAACCCATATTAACTGCGAGCTGCATGAGCCTTCCTGTTATTGTACAAATATTTCTTCCAGCAACCACGTCACGCCATATCATATAACATGTTATCTTCTGAAACCACCTCTTGCTTGAAGTAAATCTGCTTTCACATTAACCACTGGAAACCAATCGCGTTTTACTTCCATGTTTTCCCCTTTCATGGACATCATCTTCTTCATGTCTTGCATCAAGATGATTATTTATGCACTTCCTTTAATTAGCACCATCTACACCATGTGCTCGTCCCTGGACCCCAACGGAAACTTCAGATGAAGCCATCCAGATGATGTTAATACAATTTTGAAATCATCCTAGACTGGGATTTTTAATTCTGGAGAATACATCAAACATTAGCATCGGGCCAGCAATAAACCAACACATTGTTCAGAGTCACCTTATTTATGCAAGATGGTTGGTGTCTTCTAAGCTAGATGGCTGGTGTCTCCTAGCTCTTCTGCTTCAAGAATCCGGTAGTGATCACGTCAACATCCGTCCAAAAGCCGCACGCCAGCGACCACCGCTGCTGCTCTTCCCCATCAAGATTCAAGAAGACCAAGTACCAGGCAACTCGAATTCGAAAAAACCCGGAAAAGGTGCAGGCGAGATAGCCTCACAGCAGAACCTGGAAGCCTGCACCACCTAGCGACAACGCAAAAGGAGAGGAGAACGATTCCTCCTAGATCGAATTATTAGGGGCGCCATCAAGGGGATAAGATGGCTTGGCCAAGGGGGCATGAACGGGAGAAGGGCATGAGTAGATAAAGGAGATGGGGGCCGGCGTATACCTTTGGTAGAAGAAACCATGTATGTTACATATGGGAAAGGAAATAGGTTAGAGTTCGGGAAGGCTGTTTTTTTTTAACAATTGAAGCTAACTTTTTTTGGATGACGAAGGCAAAGATAACTTCATGCGTAATGGGTCTGAGAATAAAAGGGTGCGTGATGTCATAGATGGGTGATTTTTTTTCAACTATAAATCAGAGATATAATGGTCTAAACCCAGAATTACATGGCTTAATCTACACCGTTATAACTCGTCCCCACCAGATAAACGGCTTGTAAATTCTAATTAACTTGGTAATTTCTAGGGAGTCTGTAATTAGTATAGGTATAGATAGATAGATAGATAGATAGATAGATAGATAGATAGATATAGATAGATAGATAGATAGATATAGAGGTATAGATAGATAGATAGATAGATAGATAGATAGATAGATAGATATAGATAGATAGATAGATAGATAGATATAGAGGTATAGATAGATAGATAGATAGATAGATAGATAGATAGGGTAGTACTAATATTACCATCAACATCGGGACACATCCCCAAAGCTCCCTTTTATTGCTACTAACATATCTATGACTTTTTTATTAATTTAAGTCAAGGAAATAAGGACGATGCGCACGTCCGGCCTAAACCATATCATGAACTTGCCTTTTGTTTCTGGTTTGGACTTGGAGTCACCCTATAATAAGCCCAGAACGCAATTATTCTTGTACAGTCCTACATGATCTCCCCTCCCGTGTATTCGCGTCTACAGGTATCCACACACAGGCGACAATCAATTAATTTTCTTAATCCCTTGAAACAAACTTACGACAAATATGATTGTACCACAATTAAGGAATCTTCTTAGAGTTGTATAGAATACTAATTACATCATAAGATCTCCCCACCAAGAGAAAAGACACAAGGCCAAACTGTTCATTCATTAAGCAAATGGCACTACTAGAAAAAGGGCTGCTAGTGGCGCACCTGTTTTCGCTACTAATGGCGCACTACAGGTGCGCCACTAGTGGCGCACCACGCAGGAGTGCGCCATTAGTAGTAATTTTTTTCAAATTTATTTTTAATTTTTTTTCAAATTTATTTCAAAAAAAATCAATTTTATTTTATACTTAATCTCGGGTCAATATGCTTAATCTCAGGTCAAATCACACTCTGTGGTCAAACTTTTCGGAAGGTCACCCATCCTCACAATACTCCAGCCCGAGCACGCTTAACTTCGTAGTTCTATCCAACCCCAGCACCACCTCACTTCACTGACACTTGTTGATATATCTATCATATCAATCCTATTAAACCTTGCTAATGTCTAGGACTTAGTTCATGAGTATGATGAAATTTTGAAAAAATATTTCAAACTTCCCGGTCATATTACGTATCATATTTTGAAAAATAATTCAATTTTTTTTTTCGAAATCAATTTTTTTTCTATTACTAGTGGCGCACCTAGCATACGGTGCGCCACTAGTAAGTTTGAATTTTTTTTGAATTTTTTTGCCTCCGGATCTTAAAAGCCCCATAAATTTTTTTATGTTAGGTTTTTGGGAATTTTGAAAATGTTTAACTTTTAACGGGGATTTTGAAAATGTTAAATTTGGATGTAACTTTTCGAGTAGATGATTTTTCATATAGAAAACTTTTTAATCCGAGTTCGTATGCAAAAGTTATGCCCATTTTACAAATTCCAGAGAGATTTTGCAAATAAAGTCGAAATTCATATTTGTAAATTTTCCCAACAACTAGACCACATATCACACGGAAACTTATTTTCTTTTATTTTTTTGACATTTTCATCAATTTTTTTATTTTGTTAAACTGAAAAGGCGGTCCACGGGGGGAGGGGGGTGCATTCGGTGGAAGTTTTGGGCCAAGTTAGTAATGGCGCACCGTGGGAGTGGTGGTGCGCCATTACTGGTTTTAAAAAAAAAACAAATTCTGATTTTTTTTTTGAAAAAAACTTAGTAATGGCGCACCAGTTGACAGTGCGCCATTACTAGTGCGCACTGTCCACTGGTGCGCCATTACTAGTTTTATAAAAATAAAAAATTGAAAAAAATTACTAGTGGCGCACCGTGAATGTGGTGCGTCATTACTAGTTTAACTAGTAATGGCGCACTAGTTTAACTAGTAATGGCGTACTATTCACTGATGCGCCATTACTAGTTTTGAAAAAAAAAAAAAAATTGTTACTAATGGCGCATCATGGATGTGGTGCGCCATTAGTATTTGGACACTAATGGCGCACCTACACATGGTGTGCCATTAGTATATACTAATAGCTCACCACATGTCTGGTGCGCCATTAGTGGCCATATCATCTATAGCCTTTTTCCTAATAGTGTGGGTACCACATAATTAAGTAGGTTCCAGCTTAAGTTTTGTTTTTGCATGGAATTTATTCAGTAACACGTTTGGTAGAATCAAGGCCAAACTATACACAACCCCACAGCATAGGAAACTTCTACTGTTCTAATTAATGTAGTTGTAGTGACTAGTGCATGAATGGTTGGTCCACCCAATGTTATATGTTTCCTAGTTACTTGAATCCTACCTAATATACCTGCCAATTTAATTTTGGCTAATTCTTGAATACCTGAATTTTTATAGATCTTAGTTAACCAAAAGCATCACTTAAACCAAAATTGAAGTACTGAAAGCACACAGATGCAGCAAAAATTATGTGATTTCTAGGCAATAAGTTATATATATGGAAGCAATATTAGGAATGGTCGGGTGTTGATCCAAAGATCTGGCTGATATTTAATCAATTTTTAGGTAACTAATAAGTAGACAAATCTACCAACTAATGGATGCTTGTCCAATATGAACCAATGTGTCATCGTCATATGGCATCGACCGGATCCTCTGAAACCGTTTCTCTCATTTTAGAAGTACCATGATTTGCTCTAAACGTAAACCATTTCCTTGCACCCGCAAAGTACTTCTGGATTAATACGAAGGAGTATTTGAATTTTTTTTTATGAATCGCTTCTATTTGTGACCGAGGAATATAATGCTTGTTGATTTCTTAGCACCAACTAGTTAATACAAAAGCCTTAGCCAGGAGGCAAATGGGAAACACGCTTCATCATCTCCATCTACTAGTATCCACGTATTTCACACGCACAACATAATTAGTTAACTTTATTAACTCTATAAAACAAATTTGATACAGATATAGTGACCCCATAATTTAGGAATCTTGTTAGATGTCTATAAGAAAACTAAGAGCAAGATAAGTTATTTAATCATCTCCCTCAAGAACAAAAGAATGCCCAAGGCCACTATTCAATAACCAAGCAAACGGGTACATGATAAGCAGGTTTCGGCTTAAGCTTTCTTTATGTGCGTGGAATTTATGCACCAACAGATGTGGTAGAATCAAGGCCAAGCCCAAGGCCAAACTACTCACAATCTTGTAGCAAAGGAAACTTCTAAAGTTCTATTACTTACTATAGTTGCAGTGGCTAGTGCATAAATGATTGCTCCACCCAACACAACATACATGGCAACGTAATTAACATTTTTGCTAATTCTCAATCTCAAATGCCTAATTTTTATTAATCGTAGTCAGCTAAGAGCACATATCACTTAATAGAAAAACTAACGTATTGAAAGCGGCTTAACAAAATGTACGTAACTGCAATTTCTAGCCAATGCACTCCAGTACATTTGAAGGAATATTAGAAAAAATGGCCAGAAGATGATCCAAAGCTCTAACTAGGATTTACTGAGGGTTGGTATCAGACCGGCCTTACAATAAGACCCTTAAGTCATGCATGATCTCTCACATGACAAATACACACAAAACATTTCCTGGCGGTTTCGCCTCAAAAAGGGGTGGTATCTAAAACAGAGTACACACCTCCAGAAAAGAATTCGCCCATTGATATTTTTTATTCCTCGGCATCATAAATAAACAATACTCCAATGTTTTGTGAGTATTTTTCTCCGGAGGGCCTCCTTTCCTATATATATCCATCACATTTCCCACACACACACAGGAGAAAAACAGAGCAACAAAGTCATCAGGTGCAACTCCTCTGCTGCGCAACAGACACCAAGACACACCATGAGGCCCGGGGCCGAGTTCGTCACCATGAGCCACCGCGCGGGAGCGCCGACGGCGGCGCCGGGGCATGGGCTGATGAACGGGACGGCGGCGCCGCATTCGACGTGGCAGTCACCGGTGCCGTACCTGTTCGGCGGGCTGGCGGCCATGCTGGGGCTCATCGCCCTGGCGCTGCTCATCCTGGCGTGCTCCTACTGGAAGCTCTCCGGGTACCTCGACGGCGACCGGGACGGCCAGGCGGCGGGGGACGCCGACGGGGAGAAGGGCTCGGCGTCTGGCGCGGCCAGGCCGGCCATGGATTTTCTCGAGCACGTGGTGGTCATCATGGCCGGCGACGAGCGGCCCACGTTCCTCGCCAAGCCGGTCACCAGCCGGGCCGCCGAAGCGGAGCTCGCGGCCGCAACGGCTCCTGAGGCGAGCCCGCGCGCCGGCGACGACGGGCAGGAGAAGAAGGTGGACGAGCAGGGCTGCGAGGTGATCTCGCAGCTCGGAGGCGACCCCGCCGACTCGGCGAGCCGGAGCCGCGACCGCCAAGACGCGGCGAGCCACAGCCATGACAACCACCACCACCATGACCATGAGAGCAGCAGCACGACGGCACTACAAGAAAGCTCGCAATAAAAGCAGCCGCCTTTTGTTCGCTTCAGCTTTCCCTTTTTTGAGGCTGCTTTTCTTCCCCACTCCTTCTTCCTCCTCTAGATTTAGGCTGGGCTGTGTAGATTCTTGGCGTGATTGGTCAAGTGAAAATTAACGGAGATATCTACGCGAGACTTGAAAGTTTTGCCAATGGAAAGATATATGGAGCATCATGCTCTGCTCCAGTTACAGCTCTCTGAAGAAATGGACAACACTCCACACCATCATTCCCCATCTTTCGGTAGCTTACAGCACCTTTAAGTTGGAACAAATATTGATTACATTGAAATCCAAAGTGACTTGTACTGGGGGACAAGAATGAGCACTGATTGAATTCAGATTCTTTGCTTTTTGTAAATGCAGCTGTCCTGCAGCAAATCAGCAGTCCCACATGCTCAAGCAACGTAGGGATGGCACCAGGTCCGTCGGCCCACGGGCCCAGCACTCACTGCACATTTTTTTCTCTGGATAAAAAGGTGGGCCATGGTCCAAAACTTGTTCAAGAAACAAACAAGGCGGCATGAAGCAAGCCTCGTCCAGGATACAACACTCACTGCACATGACAAAAAATGAAAGCATGCCAAAAAAAAGAGAAAAAAGAAAGAGGAGCACCGCCGCGACGCCTAGGGCGGCTCAGATGGCACCTTAGGGAACCGCCACCGGTGCCTCCTCCTCCACCCCTCTTCCCACGTTTCCGATGGTGCACCGCCGAGCAAACCACGTGGTCAGTGATGGTGGGACCATTGTTTTTGGTCGGACGTGGAGGATTCCCCGGCGCGGGCAAGCGGGCCCTACAAGCCATCGAGATTTTGTGGTCTCCCCGATGGCCCCACGTAGGCGCTCCGTGGAAGATGTCGCGGTGACGCGGGATCAAGCATCCGGTTCTGCGGGTGCGTGTCATGCCACATCAGCGGTTCGTTGGCCACGTTTAGCGGTGCATCACGTCACTGCATATGGCTTCCGCCGCAATTGGTACTACGTAAGGTAGAACCGTAGCACAGTTATAGTATCAATAACTATTAAGCAATCTTTGGAGTTGTATGAAAAGTAATTGCATCATAAGAAAATTGATGTCCTTCCATCATGGAACAAAATTGAAGTATTGGAAGCACACAAATACATCGAAAGCTATGTAATTTCTAGGTTGCAAGTTATATAAGGAAGCAATATCAAGATAAGAATGATTGGATGTTGAAGTGAAGGTAACTGATAAGTAGACAGCTATATCAACTAATTAATGGATGGTTGCCAAATATGACATTGCCATACAGCATTGATCACGATAATCTGGAACCATTTCGAGTGCTCATTTTAGAACCACAATCTTTGGTTCTAAAATGAAATTGTTCCCATGCATCCACGAAGAACTTCCGGATTAATACAAACTTTGGATTTTCTTTGCTTCTATTTTATGATCGAGTGAAATAAAGCATTGTTGATTTCTTTGCGGCGACGAGTTAATACAAAGCCGGAAGGTAAATGAAAAACACATTTAACAATCCATCTCTACCTCTATCCACATTCCGCACACAAAATCAATTAATTTTTAACTCCTTTCTTGAAAAAAAACTGCACTAATAAAGTAATAATATTGTAACCCCATAATTTAGAAACCTTGTTTATTTCTATTAAAAAATAACAAGATAAAATATTTAATGATCTCCCTCATGAAGCATACTATTCAATAAGAAGGTTGGTAGCTTAAATTTCGTTATGTGCCTGGAATTTGTGCACTAACACACGTGGTAGAATCAAGGCCAAACCCAAAGCTAAACTATTCACAACCCCGTGCCAAAGGAAACTTTTGAAGTTCTTAATACTTTAGTTGTAATGACTAGTGCATGGATGATTGATCCATTCAGCGGTCCCTCTTGCCTAACTATTTGAACCCAACACAACATAGCTAATTACTTAGTTAACATTTTTTTTCCAATTCTCAACAGTTTATTTTTATTTTATCTTTGTTAGGTAAAAGCATCAAAGCTTGTTGCAAAAGTGAATTACTGAAAGCGCACAACTATAGCAAAATGTACATAATTGAATATTCTAGCCAGTAAGTTATGTACGAAGCGATATCAGGATAGAGGATGCTTGTAAGTTGATCAAGAAGGTCTGACGGGAATTTAATTAGTATTTAGCAAATTAATGATTAATAACTCCTTAAGTCAGCTTAGTTCACTTCCTTACGAGTGGATGTACAACCCACACATTGAAGTTCAAGTCCTCACATGCACCGAGTTTGGGTTCTTACTATTGAAAACAAAAAAATGTAGGGTCACCCAAAAAGTAACAACTTATCTAGTCAATTGACGTAATATGAATTGATGCGTCAACAACATATAGCATTGACCCGTATCCTCGGAAGCCGTCTCTAGTGCTCATTCTAGAACTACGATTGCTGGCTCTAAAGATAGTTACATTTATCCGGAGAGAACTTTGCATTAATCTAATGGAAGATCTGGAGAATTTTCGTTACATCTATTCCCTGTTGGCTTCTTCTCACCAACTACTTTATGTGAAAATCTAAGCCGCGGAGGGAACTGAATAACGTACTTTATATTCCTCATTGCAAAGAATAATCTACAATTCATAACCCCACCCGCATCGCGAAAAAGGGACTCACCTCTCTCCGCCCCTCCTTCCAAGAAAGAACGCACCAGAAGTTGAAACTGTTTCGCCATGACAATCTTACCCCCATATAACCACATTCCCCTCGACCATATCCCACCGGCATTCAACTCGCCTGTTTTGCCTCGCCGTGCTTTTGGCCGAAATCACGGATGCGGTTACTGGAAGGAGAGTCAAACATCGCTGGCACTGAGTGGATTAAATTAACCAGTTCCTCTACAAACATGGGTATAACGAGAAGTTCTCCCATCGATCGCACCTCCGTTTGTCTGTGACGAAAAAATCACACCATGTTTTCATGATCAGAGGCGGAAACCCTATGCCAAAATAACATGTCATTCGAAAATTGATACTGCCTTTGACATTTGATACGACAACTTGACACTAAAGGGGTGTATCTCTTGCAAATATCTAGCAACAGAGTTCACAGCTCCAACCAAAAAAAAAATCCCTTTGGTCTTTTGATATTCCTTGGCGTCACAAATGGACAGTACCCCCTGAATAAATAAATAAATAAATGAAGAATACTGTGGAGTTTTGTAAACATTTCTCCCCACCTCTCCTATAAATACATCCCATTTCCCTCTCACCCCTCCCACACCACCACCCCCAACACAAACAAGCCAGAGACAGCACAAACTGATCAGGCGCAGCTCCTCTGCACGCCTTCACACCGACACAGCCATGAGGCCCGGAGCAGAGTTCTTGGCCGTGAGCCGCCTCGCGGGGGCGCCGACGGCGACGGCGCCGCCGCACTCGGCGTGGCAGTCGCCGGTGCCGTACCTCTTCGGCGGGCTGGCGGCGATGCTGGGCCTCATCGCCTTCGCGCTGCTCATCCTCGCCTGCTCCTACTGGAAGCTCTCCGGGTTCCTCGACGGCGCCTCCGATGGCCAGGCGGCGGGCGACGCCGACGGGGAGAAGGCCTCGGCGTCCGGCGCGTCCAAGCCGGCCCCGGATTTCCAGGAGCACGTGGTGGTCATCATGGCCGGCGACGAGCGGCCCACGTTCCTCGCCAAGCCGGTCACCAGCCGGGCCGCCGAGGCGGAGCTCGCGGCCGCAGCGGCGCCTGACGCGAGCGCGCGCGACGGCGAAGGCCAGGAGGAGACGGCGGACGAGCAGGGCGGCGAGGCGAGCTCGCACCCCGGCGCCGACGCGGCGAGCCGGAGCCGTGATCACCACGAAGACGCGGCGGGCCAGAGTGGCGACCATGATCACGACGCGGCGAGCCACCACCACCATGACCAAGACCTCGAGAGCAGCGGCACGACGGCGCTGCAAGAAAGCCGGCAATAAAAGCGGCCGCCAGCCATTCATTCGCTTCAGCTTTCCCTTTTTCCCGGGCAGCTTTTCCTCTCTCCCCACCCCATCATCTTCCTCCTCCCGTCCCGGTGCTGCTAGTGCTAGATTTAGGCTGGAGCGTGTAGTAGATTCTTGGCGTGATTAGTCGGACAGAAACAAAAGAAAATCAATGGAGATATGTATATGAGAAGAAACTTGAGAGCTTTGGCAATCGATCGAAAGCCGCTTTGGCCCCTGAATCTCCGGAACAAGATCACAAGCATCACACCACTCTGCTCCGAAGAAACGGACAGCGGCCCATCCCCATCCACGCCATCGCCCCGGCTCTCTTTCGGTAACTTACAACAACTTTCAGCTGGATTACGATGAGTAGCTGGACTCCATTTGGTTGTATATGCGGAGAAAAGCATATGCAAATCGAACGACTCCACCTCCACCTCCACTTCTCGATTGCACTGCAGCTAGGCCGCCAGCAGTGGCGCTAACGTAAGCGGACACCGTGACTTTGTGCGCGCACCAGCTTTGTCGGCCCAGCGCTCACTGAGCATGACACCTCCTTGCTTGTGTGCGAGGGATGCCTATCTGGAAATGGCATTGGCACTTAATGTTAGCCTCCGATCCATATTACTTGTCGCTGAAACGGATGTATTCAGTGCTAGATACATATGTTTCGATGAAAAATAATATGAATCCGAAGGAGTACTAGTTAAACATAATTTGATACTCAAAAAATAATTAGACGGAATTCTGCTTATCTGGAAATGGCACTGGCACTTAATGTTAGCACTGGTTAAACAGAATTCTGCTTTGGTGTTGATTGGATGGCGGACCGGACCTCTTTCGGTGTGCAATGGAAACGGTACGGCTCAGAAGAAGGAGAGTTCGAGGCTTGCAAGCTAGTAGTACAGGTGTAGTGCCGTGGAACTGCATTTTGGCATGTGTGTGTGCACCTGCCGGTTGATGATCTGGATCGGCGAGCAGCGTGGCAACACGCGTCGGGCAGGTATGAACAGAGCCGGAAAATGCTGGCGTGATAGCTAGGGTCTACAGGAGCAGGA